GTGAGATTTTGTCAAATAGGTTCAAATTGAGGTAAAATTTTTAATACATTTGTAGGGTATGTCCAAGGTCAAGTATATTTCTCAAATCTTGATAAGTCAACACTTTGCATGAATGTTAATTGTTATATCATTACTCAAAAAAAACAAAAAAAACAAAAAAAAATTGAAAATTGAAAAATTCAAGTGCTTTGAAAAATTCTCCTTATGCAGGTGTTTATGGTTGAGATCGAGGAAAAAGTGCAATTCAACTTGCAAATTTGGAGATTAGTCACGAATAAAAATGGAGCAATAATGCTACATTGCAAAGTGGAGGATCGGCTATTTGCTCAAAAGGAGTACATACTTTAGCAGCCAACTTGAAAAAAAAAAGAGAAAAGAAAAGAAAAAGGGGGAATGAAAAGCGAAAAAAAAAGAGAAAGAATAAAGGAAAAAAAAAAGTAAAGACAAAAGACAAAAGAAAAGAAAGGGGGAATGAAAGAAAAAAAAAGAAGAGAATAATAAAAAAGGAGGAAAAAATGGAAAAACGAAAAAAAAAGAGAATAAAAAAAAGGGGATTGAAAAAAAAAGAGAGTTTTTCCTTCGATTTTGCAAATTTTGCAATTGAACTCTGGGAGCGTTTCATTGGAGATTACATTTCTAAGTTAGGGCAACACCTTGTCCTCTTATGCTGAAATGGAAGTGGTAATACATGCCAAAACCGAGATCCCGTCCTTGCACATTTTGACAAAGGCTTAGGTAGAGGAAATCAAATGGATTAAGGAGCACAATGAGTTGCTATCTCTGATTGATGAAAAAGAGGTTGAATGTTTGTCATGGACAATGCTATCATCAAAGGATGGTTCGTTAGTTATGACAAGAAAGACAAATCTTGCTTATTTGAAGTGAGGGATAAGGTTTTGAAGTAAATTCTTCCGATTCAATAGGAGGTTAAAGAAAAGTTTGCTCCGACTTGGCAAGGGCCATTTATTGTTCAAAGAGTGCTATCCGGAGGAACGTCCATTCTTACAGAACTGGATGGACAGGTCTTTCCTCTGCCAATCAATTCAGACATGTGAAATAAATTCTTTATCTGATTATATGATTTTTCTTTTTGAAATACCATCTATGGCGGATCAAAGGCGAGCCTTCTTCTTTTCTCTTTGAACATCTTATCCCTAGTTTTCCCCATTGAACCTCCAGAATAATTCAACCTTTCATTTGATAGCCCTCCTAAAGATTGCAAACTCCATACTGGGGTAAATTTTTATCTCTTATTTGTCATGAAAAAAAAAGAAAAAAAAAGAAAAAAGAAGTCAAAAGCCAAACTGGGGCAATTTTTTCGGTTTTAATACCCTCATAATGGGGCAAATATTGATAGAATGCGGTCTTAGGATTTTTGAAACCTCTTTGAAGATTTTGCTTTGAAGTTTAACACTTTTTCTACACCCCACATGCCCCCATCATAAAAATCATAAAGTCTCGACCTCCGCTTTAGTAGTATTTCTAATAAAAATCACTTAATCAAATGGCAATTGATGTCAGTACACCTTCACCATTTTTACATGGGAATGGTTGTCGCGCTGATGCCATCCTTTCTTTAAATACATTTCTGAGTTGATAAATTTCGTTAACAAGATTTGTTCATTAGGTGAAAACCTGAAAGGGTGTCTTCAAAAGAATGAGAAAAAAAGAAAAAAAGAAAAAAAAAAGAGAATGATGAAAAAGAAAAAAAAAGAAGAAAATGAAAACAAAATAAAATAAAAAGGTGTGACCTTTGTGAAAATCCGAAAGGTTGAGGTCATCAAGGTAAGATTTTGGAGCACAAGAAAATCATGAACGAAAAGCGGGTTGCTGACACTTGAGATACTGGCCATTCATTCAAATCTGGTCATTAGAAAAGTTGATTTGTGGTACAAAGTGTGGTATGGCTGACTGATGCTGAAAAATGGAGAAGATTCAAAACAAGTTGCAGCACAACTCTTGAGGAGCAGTTTTGACATCGAAGGATCATGCTTGCATGGTTCTCAGGGCCAAAAGGAGCACAAGGAATCACATGGTATTGGTATCATATGATCACTCTTTTTGCTTTTTCAAAAGCATGAAAATGTGGCTTTCGTTAAACATGATTTACACTGGGGCAAATATCAAAAGGAGTGAGCTCCAATTTTGGTAATACATTCTAAATCGGCTTTGTGAAAAAAAAAGTTTTTTAAAGTCGAGAAGATAGTGACACATGTATGTACCTCTCAAATCTCTTGAAAGGAGAGTTGTCATTGGTATTCTTCAAGTTTTAGAATTTGTCACCTTTGTTTTTTTTCAAAAACAAAAAAAAAACAAAAAAAACAAAAAAAACAAAAAAACAAAAAAAGATTACAAATCCACCAACTTGAGCCACAATGTCAAAATGCAAAGCAGATGATTGGTTGAACAAAATTGATTCAAATTGAGTCAATTTCTGAAATGATTTTTCAGGTAAGTATTCAAGAACTTTTTCATGCAATAACGTGTGTCATGTCTTTTATCACCGTTAGCATCGAGTACAACTCACTAACGCGTGTTTTATTTTTTCACATCCGTTAGCATCGGGTCCAACCCACTAACGTGCCTTTTATCACCGTTAGCATCGAGTATGACTCACTAACGCGTGTTTTATTTTTTCACATCCGTTAGCATCGGGTCCAACCCACTAACGTGTCTTTTATCACCGTTAGCATCGAGTACAACTCATTAACGCGTGTTTTACTTTTTCATATCCGTTAGCATCGGGTCCAACCCACTAACATGTCTTTTATCACCGTTAGCATCGAGTACAACTCACTAACGCGTGTTTTACTTTTTCATATCCGTTAGCATCGGGTCCAACCCACTAACATGTCTTTTATCACCGTTAGCATTGAGATTTGACTCACTAACGTGTGCTATTTTTTTTCACATCCGTTAGCATTGGGTCCAACCCACTAACGTGTCTTTCATCACCGTTAGCATCGAGTATTGACTCACTAACGTGTGTTATGTTTTTTTCACATCCGTTAGCATCGGGTTCAACCCAATAACGTGTCTTTTGTATATCATGTTGGGATTCGGGAGGTTTGGGTGTTATCCCACTGACCGTTTTATTTTATTGGATTCGAGTTTTATCCCACCAATCTGTTATTTCTTGACAATTTAATTTCCTGTTGGTGAGTCTCAGCGTCCACCGCGCACCCTTCTATCTCCCATTCTTGACAAATTTAAATTCCTGTTGGAGCGTAATCGCGTCCCTCCGCGCATCAATTTAATTTCATGTTGGTGAGTCTCAGCGTCCACCGCGCACCCTTCTACCTCCCCTTCTTGACAATTTAATTTCCTGTTGGTGAGTCTCAGCGTCTACCGCGCACCCTTCTATCTCCTATTCTTGACAAATTTAAATTCCTGTTGGAGCGTAATCGCGTCCCTCCGCGCATCAATTTAATTTTCTGTTGGAGCGTAATCGCGTCCCTCCGCGCATCAATTTAATTCCTGTTGGTGAGTCTCAGCGTCCACCGCGCACCCTTCTACCTCCCATTCTTGATAAATTTAATTGTCTGTTGCAGCGTAATCGCGTCCCTCTGCGCATCAATTTAATTTCCTGTTGGTGAGTCTCAGCGTCCACCACGCACCCTTCTATCCCCCTTCTTGACAAATTTAATTTTCTGTTGGTGAGTCTCAGCGTCCACCGTGCACCCTTCTACCTCCCATTCTTGACAATTTAAATTCCTGTTGGTGAGTCTCAGCGTCCACCGCGCACCCTTCTACCTTCCATTCTTGACATTTTAAATTTCTGTTGGTGAGTCTCAGCGTCCACCGCGCACCCTTCTATCTCCCCTTCTTGACAATTTAAATTTTCTGTTGGAGCGTAATCGCGTCCCTCCGCGCATAAATTTAAATTTCTGTTGGTGAGTCTCAGCGTCCACCGCGCACCCTTCTACCTTCCATTCTTGACATTTTAAATTTCTGTTGGTGAGTCTCAGCGTCCACCGTGCACCCTTCTATCTCCCCTTCTTGACAAATTTAATTTTCTGTTGGAGCATAATCGTGTCCCTCTGCGCATCTTTTCCTAAATGACAAATTTAATTTTCTGTTGGTGAGTCTCAGCGTCCACCGCGCACCCTTCTACCTTCCATTCTTGACATTTTAAATTTCTGTTGGTGAGTCTCAGCGTCCACCGCGCACCCTCCTATCTCCCCATCTTGACTGTTAAATTTTCTGTTGGAGCGTAATCGCGTCCCTCCGCGCATAAATTTAAATTTCTGTTGGTGAGTCTCAGCGTCCACCGCGCACCCTTCTATCTCCCATTCTTGACAAATTTAAATTCCTGTTGGAGCGTAATCGCGTCCCTGCGCGCATCAATTTAATTTCCTGTTGGTGAGTCTCAGCGTCCACCGCGCACCCTTCTATCTCCCCTTCTTGACAATTTAATTTCCTGTTGGAGCGTAATCGCGTCCCTCCGCGCATCTTTTTTGAAAAGACAAATTTAATTTTCTGTTGGAGCGTAACCGCGTCCCTCCGCGCATCTTTTTCTAGTTATGACAAGTTAATTTTCTTGACTGTTTTGACTAATAATTGTGATTTCTCATTCATTTTGTGTTTCATGTTTAGAAGTTCTGAGAGCTCAGACTTTTTCGACTTTGCAAAGACCATAGTTGGTCAATGCACTTGTTTCGTTGTGGTTCACTTGCATTCGAACTACGTTTGACCTGATTCCCATGGCGGGATACGTAGGCAACTCTACATGAGTTCGGTCATATGCTCTGCAATGTTATTGCATCATTTTGTCCAATAATTTCAACCAAGTGTTAGCTTGTTTAATTTAACTCAGGTGCAGTTAGAAGAGACAGGTAAACAATTTGGTGTCAAATTTCTTTGAAACTCTAGACAAAGAGGGACAAGTGTAGACACCAAATTTTTGTCAATTTTTAATATTTTCTTGAATTTTTTCTATTTAATGAGTTATTTATTTTCTTGCATTTTAATTTGCATTTTTCTCATTTTTGCAGGTTTGTTTTAGGAAAAGAAGAAAAATTAAAAAAAAAACAACAAACAAACAAAACAAAACAAAAGAAGGAAAATTAAGAAAATAAAAAAAATCATTCTAATCATTTTGTTTCATCAGAACCACTATTAACCCATTTTTACACTCCATCCTCATTAACATTTCTTCCCATTTTGGTAAAAAATTCATCATTGATAGCCCATGCATACTTCTTGTCTTTGGAAGAAAAAATCATCATTTGGCCCAACTTAACACTCCTAGTCAAGACATCACTCGGCTCTCTCTGGGGGAAAAGGAGGAAAAAAAAACACACACAAAAAAGGCTCTACTGTTGGCTACAAAAATCTCCTCTCTCGGCTCTCTCCCACAGGACAGAAGACAAGCCATAACAAGAAAAAAAAAAAGAAAAACTCCTCTTTCCATTCGGCTCCCTCTCTTTTCCTAATATACACACACAGAATCAAGCACAAGAAAGCAAGCAATCGGACGCGAGGAGATTGGAATTTCATCAACAATTTTAACTAAGGTCATAAGAGGTATCAACACTTCCATTGAACTATTTCCTGTTTTTTTTTCTTTATCGTGTTGAATTCATGTATTATTGGTTGTTCCTGCTGTTTTCTTGTTGTTGCTGCTGGTGTTGTTGAAATTTTGGGGTAAAGCCATGAATAAACATTAAGGAAAAGATGATTTCTGTGAATGCATGTTAATTGTTTGAAAAAATGCCAAAAAGAATTTTAGGGACTGTTTTGCCTTAATTCAGCCTTTTTATGTTGTTTTCTTGTTCAACTTAGATTATAGTTGTAATGTAGAAGTTATAAGGAGGGTTTTGGCATAATTTTTAAGATTTTTGGTGAAGATTATAGTGTTTTAAAAAATAAAAAACTGGACTGGCTTTTTGCTTTTCGGCTACCTTCGGGTCATCTTTTGTAAAAATTAACTCCGGAAATGGAACCTACGCGAAAAATGGAGTGGAAAGATGTATTTTGAGAAATTTTGGCCACTGGAAAAGTCGCCGGTGACCGGCGGTCCGGTGGCGCCGCCACCATGGCTACCAGCTGAAGCTTCTTCGGTTGGCCGAAGAAGAAGGAAAGGAAACGTATGGGAAGAAAAGAGAAAGAAAAGAAAGAAAGAAAAAAGGGGTTTGGGCTAATGTTTTATTTCGGTTGGGCCAAGAGTTAGTTTTGGTTGGGTTATGAAAATGGGTTTTGGTTTATTTTCTTTTGGGTTTCTGTTGGGCTAAGAGTTTTGAGTCCATATATTTTGGTTGGGTTTGAGTGATAAAAGACGGGCTGACCTGTGTGTTTTAGCTTGGGTTTTCAGTTGGGCTTAGGTAGGTTTGGCCCAAGTAAAATAAAAAGGGAGGCCCGATGCCCTCTTCTTGCCCAAATCAGAAACGAACTTGCACTTCAGTCCCTGTACTTTCAAGTACTTTCACTGCGGCCCAGAACATTTTAAATTCCTTTCAACTCGGTCCTTAAATTAATTTCACTTTGGTCCCTGAATTTTATCTTTCATTTAATTTGGACCCCTGAACTTTGGAAAATATAATTTTTGTCCCCCAAAAGTTTTCAACTTTTTGTAATTCAGTCCTTGACAAATTTTGGCTCTCTTTATTATGATTGTTTCTTTTCTTCAATAACTAATTATGTTACTTTTGAACATATTCAACTTGTAATTTTTAGATATTTTAAATTTCTTTATGTTTGACATATTAGCGTGAGCTTAGTACTTTTATTATTATTGTTTTTTTTTTTAAAATTAAATTGGTGCCATGATTCTTTTGTTCATTGTGAGTATAAATAGGACAATTTGACTCCATTTAGTCACCACTTCAAAAGGGAGGTACCTCATTATTATTATTTCAATGTTAATTACGTGCTCTTATGTGCTCTTACGTGCTCCTATATGTTTATATATTTTTATATGCTTTGTTTATTTGATTTGAATGATCATTTAAATTTTCTTATACTTTTTTAGTTAATTTTATAATTATTTGAGAGGCATTTAAATACCTCAAAAATGTAATAGATAGGATAATTAGATTTGTTTTATTTTATTTCCCCTTTTAGATTGTAGTTAGGCGCTCCCCGATGTAATAGATAGGTTGTGTGCTTATGTGGCTTATGTGTTACGTGCCTTACTTGCTTTCCTTAGGATTTTTGCATCTAGATATTATGCTTATGTGTTACGTGCTACGTGCTCTTATGTGTTTATTTGTTTTAATTTATGTCTACTTGTCTTATTATGTATTAAAAATGCATGACGTCACCACACTAGTCCAACGCTAGTTGTGGTTTCTCCCTCCGTTTACTTGCTAGTCCAACGCTAGTAAGGATTTTTAGAAATTGGTTAGTCCAACGCTAGACCCTTAGATCGTTCGTGCGTTAGATTCATTTTTGTGTGATATTCATTACATTTTCACGCATATTTTCATTTTTAGGATCTTTTCCCATTTGCATGATATTTCCTATTATATTATCCCCTATCCTCTATATGTGTTAATCATGTCATTTAGAATTGCATTTCATTTAGGATATTGTATAATAAGTTAGCTCATTTGTTTGTGCATATTAGGAGAATTATTTTTCAAATATGGGAAATGGGTGATTATAACTTTTTAGTTTAAATGCCCCATTAATCCCTGTATAAGAAAATTATGTCACGAGTTTTTGCCTCCCATACCCTTTATGTTGCATTCCCTTTTTCTTTGATCACTTATATATGTATATAATTTAATTTCTTTTCTTTTATTTTAATTTCATCATTTACATACTCGTGACACTTTCAAGGAATCATTTTGGCCTTCGCAATTAATGCGATTGGTTCAATTAAACCCTTGAATGAACATGTTGCCCCTTTCGATATTTTTTTTTATATTTAGATTTGCATTCATGTAGGAAACATCCAAATGTGATAAATTAAGGGTTAGATTAGGAAAATTTTGACTAAATCTCGCAACTAGTTTAGACTAGGTTGAAAGGGTGCCTTAGGTTTGAGTTAATCGAACCTTTGCCTTCCCTTTCTTCAACCGTGACTCCCGAATCCATTTTCTCTTGTTTACAAAGACCTGGAGTTGTCAAAAAGGGTTTTATTTTATTTTATTTTACTTTATTTTTTGGGTGACTTGGTACACCAAAATTTCATACCAAGTGGCGACTCCTATTTTTTCTTAAAAACCCTTTTAGACTAAATTTTGGACCCAAATTGTCGCATTCTTTAAAGTCCCATTCTAGGTCCTTTTTCATTTATTTTAAAATAAGATTACATATTTTGTAAATACCTATTTTTATACTTATATTTTTCCATCACGAAAAATGGGGCGCGACAACTTGGCGACTCCACTGGGGACGCTAGAGAGTCCAAGCACTTGGTTTAGTTGTCTTTTCTCTTTTTAACCCTTTTATTTATCGCATTTGGATGTTTAGGGTTGCATTTTCTCTTTTTTAGGATTTTTTGCATTGCGCGCGTATCAATTCACTCCCTCATCTATTTGTGTACGATTGATGGATGGATAGTTTATGTATGTTATCCCGCGCTTTGCATTGCATTTGGATGGGGGGATATTACCCTAGAGCCTCGCATTGGTTCTCGATCCCTCCCCTCCAAACCGAGCACTAGCATACGTGCATACGTTTTATTTTATCCCTCATTTATTTTTCTTTAGTGGCTTGTCACGCCACTCTTCCCTATTAGGATTAGGCGACCCACTTGGATGTGTGATCGCGACACGACGTGTGCGTAGCATGATTCTAGGGGTCACTCAATCTTCCATTTTAAGCTTTGGGTTGATAGCCTTTAGCTTTTAGTCGAAAATTGAGAATTTTTGATAGATTCACTTGGACATGTGGCCGTGGCACGACGTGCACGTAGCAATGTCTGGGGAATTGCTCGAGCCACCGACAAAGAACCTTGGGATTGATGACCTTTGGTTTCTAAGTCTGAAGGCTCGGGGATCTAAAACCTATCGAGTCTAGATGCATTAGTGAGCCGATACCTCATGCATCCATGATAGTTTACCTAGGGTAGAGTCTGCCTTACCCTATTAGGAACACTATTCACGAGGGGAGGGATCCAACCCCTCTTTATTGTTTTATCTTTGTGTATTACTTTGCTACAATGTGTTATGTGTATTTGTCTGATTGAACTAACTTTTCTTGGGTTTTGTCTCCATTGCATTCATAAACCCTAGAAAATAAGAGTCCTGGCATGGTACTCTCTAGGAGTCTACCCTATTTGATATGACACGTTTAAATTCAATGCTTCGCATTTACAGCATGATTACATTTCATTTTAGGCTCACCCCGGCATACAAAAGGGGGTTCTTTTAGGTCGTGTTTCATTTGTATACTGCATATTTAGTCGCTTTGATAAATTGGTATCATGCATAAACCTTAGAGGGAATGCCATTTAGGGAATCCCGTTATAGGAATAAACCACCTTTTGTCTCGGATATATAATCCAATGAGACTTACACGTTTATATTTTTTGTACCATCCAAAGGGGTAGTGCACAAGGTAAGGTAGGATTTGATCCCTTCCGTGTGACGGCATTGAAAATAATGGAACAGTTTTTACGCATTAGAATATGAGCCTTTAATAATCACTTTTTGGCCATTTTATCAGAATTGGTAAAAATCCCTTGCGTAAAGGACATTAAGTTGAAGAAATTCACAAATTCCTCATTGTTGAGATGATAAGTATGTTAAGGCCAAATCTTGATTTTCGAAGGCTCATAGACTAATGAATCATAATGAATTTTTGAAAATTTTCAATGGGTAGACAATTCAATCAATTTTTGGAATAAACCATCAATTTCATTGGACCATTTTATTCATCAAATTCATCCGATCCATTTTTTCCTATTTCTTCACTTTTAGGACTAAGTCAATTTTGAATAAATCAGCAATTTCGTTTGACCAATTTACCCTTTTTTAGGGTGATTCGGTCAATTTTGAATAAATTAAATTTCATTCAATTCATGTGACCAGTTTACCTATTTTTAGGGCAATTCGGTCGATTTTGAATAAATCATCAATTTCATTCATTTCATTTTTACATCTAAGATGATTGAGTCGATTTTTTTTTATAGATCATTCGATCCTTACAATTTTGCTCGTTTTTAATTTCATCTTCATTCAATTTCATTTTGAATAAATCATCAATTTCATTCTGTTCATTTGGTCAGTGATCAAGTCGATTTTTGAATAAACTGGCAATTCTATCCAATCTATTTGACCAATTTATTCATTTTTAGGCCAATACAATCAATTTTGAATTAATCATCAATTCCATTCAATTCATTATTCATTTAATCAATTTTATTTTTTTATTTTTTTTTTGAATAAATTCTCAATTCCATCCAATTCATTTGATCAACTTTATTCATTTTTAGGATAATCCAGTCAATTTTTTGAACTAACCATCAATTTCATTCGATCCATTTAACTCGTTTATTCTCTTTTAAAGTTTCGATCTATGGTTCACCGAAGAAACTAGTCGAGATATTTCAATCCTTTCAAAAATAAGTTTTTCACACTAAATTGATTTTTAACATCACTTTATGTGTCAATCAAAACAATCAATCCATTCGGACTTTGTCCTCATTTTATTAGAACAAATTGTCTTTTGTCACTCCAATTATCCAGTCTTTTCAAAATTGTCTTTTCATTGAATCTCAATAAGTCGATCGGATCCATCAGGTATTGTATGGTGCCCACCCCAGAGGATTGCATTTTTCATACTAGGCCAACTCTTGGCATAAAAGGGTTCCCTCATAGGACATACATACCGATTTTGCAGTTTTGCTTACTAACTCTGGGTATTTTGCTTTTATTTTTTCCCCCTCCCCTGCATTTATAAAAGTTGTTTCAACAAGGTAAAAACATTTTTCCTATATCTGATAATATTTTTGGTCTGATAAATTTTGAAAATCACAAGTGTTGCTTGATTCTTGGGCAGATCCTACAATGTAAAAAAAAAAAAAAACGATGATGAAAAAAATGAATGAAAAATCCATTTGAAAACGCTAGTGTAAAGTATCTCAAAAATCTTTTGATTCATTGTTTCTAATATATTTTGTCTCAAAAGATAGAAGGAGAAAGTGTGTATATATTTGAAAATGTATTCTTTAGAGATTTTTATTTGCTCACATGTATTATATTTGACCCAAAAAAAAAATTTCAAACATTTGAATAATAAAGTTTTTATTTAGACAATTATTGTTTTGTATATATTCATTCTTTATTTGCTCATTGAGAGATTTCATGATAGATTTTAAGGAATAAGACTAAATTGAAATTTTTCGACCTCTTGTTCAAAATTCATGAGTGCACGTCAAATTCCCAAAATTCTTTGCATACACTAGATTTGTGATCTAAACTATTCAATGGGAGTAGTCGAAAATAAAAGGGGTCATACAAATTTGATAGTTTGTCATAAAGATCAACCCCGACACTTTTTTCATTTTTTGTCCACTTCTATTGAACCTCCAAAGTCAGTCGCATTGATTGACTAGCTTCAAAGTGAGACAATTTTACTATGAAAATGTCCAGTGTGTCTAACCAGATTCAATCCACATCTGAGTGAAAACAAAAATGTATATTACTTTTTATTTGTTTTGAAAATTTGGAATGATACTTTAGGCTTTTGTTTCTCTATCTATATAGATTTTATCATTTATTTTCCCATTTGAACCTCCAAAAATAGAATTCCGTTTCAAATAAAAATCTAAATGATCATGACCATCCATGAAAAATTCTCAAATGTCAAAACGAAATGGATTTTCTCAATGGGCTATTCTTTACTTTGGTTGTCATGAGAAACAAGAATGATGCTTTGGCCATTGTTTCTACTATCCAAACACTTTCTATCCTTTGCATCCCCATTTGAGCCTAAATTGGTGGTTCGTTTCAAAAGCACTTATGATCGCACCCCCACACTGGGGAAGGAGATTTGAGAATTGAAAAAAAAAATTGCAAAAATGCTCAAAATTTTTTGCAAGAGAAAAATTACAAGTTGGGGGAATTTGACTCTACCATTGATATTTTGGTCTTCACTGTTGAAAAGAAAGAGGGGCCATATATACTCCAAATTAGGGAGTTTTCAATTTTATCATTGACATTGGGATATCAGTATTGGTAAAAAAAAAAAAAGAGAGAGAGAAAAGAAAATTGTGAAAAAATGAAAAAATGATTATAGAAAAAAAAAATGCGAAGACATCCAATGCTGCATTTCCCTTAGTGATTGTTGAAGAAAAAAGAGGATTGATAAGAAAAAGGGGGTCAAAAGGGGGTCCCGGATTTTAAATCCAAAACTGGGGCAATTTTTGTGAAAGAAGGCGATCTTAAGTGCGTTGTCCTTGAAAATTCTATTTTTTTTAGCTATCATTGTTAAGCCACATTACAAGCTCATAAAGTCCATTGCTGACTTATCTTTCATGACAATTTGAAGTGAAGATTTCGCCTTTAAGGAATTTACCAATTACTCATGATCATTAGGTCATAACTTGTTTCCATATGTTTAACTATCGTTTCTACCCATACATTACAAGCCCATAGAGCTTATATGTTAACTGAATTTTCTTAAGAAATAAGGGTGATAAGCTATTTGCTTTCACCAAGATGTGATACTGAATGTGTTGGATACAATTTGGGCACAAAAAAAAAAAAAGACAGATCCTGACATACCATCTCCCTGAGTCACCTCAAAATCATGAGTAATACCCATTTGTTTGGTCCTAAAAGATGAGCCAACGAGAAGAGGACCCTTTTCCCTCGATATCGATCCCAAAAAGAGGAAGAGATCTTTTGTAATTTGGTTTTGTTTTGAGAGATTTATCATGGAGCTTTCTACATGGCATTTAAAGTTTTTTGTGGAAAAATGCATTTTTTCTATTGTACATCAACTCACATTGCATGTTAGTTTTTTTAAATTTTGGAAGACACAGTTTTCTTGTTTTGTCCGAATAAATGGAGAATCACTCGAATAAAATTTTAGAATAGACCCAAATTGGGGCAAAAATTTTTGTAATATATCTGTGAGATTTTGTCAAATAGGTTCAAATTGAGGTAAAATTTTTAATACATTTGTAGGGTATGTCCAAGGTCAAGTATATTTCTCAAATCTTGATAAGTCAACACTTTGCATGAATGTTAATTGTTATATCATTACTCAAAAAAAAACAAAAAAACAAAAAAACAAAAAAAAATTGAAAATTGAAAAATTCAAGTGCTTTGAAAAATTCTCCTTATGCAGGTGTTTATGGTTGAGATCGAGGAAAAAGTGCAATTCAACTTGCAAATTTGGAGATTAGTCACGAATAAAAATGGAGCAATAATGCTACATTGCAAAGTGGAGGATCGGCTATTTGCTCAAAAGGAGTACATACTTTAGCAGCCAACTTGAAAAAAAAAAGAGAAAAAAAAAGAAAAAGGGGGAATGAAAAGCGAAAAAAAAAGAGAAAGAATAAAGGAAAAAAAAAAGTAAAGACAAAAGACAAAAGAAAAGAAAGGGGGAATGAAAGAAAAAAAAAGAAGAGAATAATAAAAAAGGAGGAAAAAATGGAAAAACGAAAAAAAAAGAGAATAAAAAAAAGGGGATTGAAAAAAAAAGAGAGTTTTTCCTTCGATTTTGCAAATTTTGCAATTGAACTCTGGGAGCGTTTCATTGGAGATTACATTTCTAAGTTAGGGCAACACCTTGTCCTCTTATGCTGAAATGGAAGTGGTAATACATGCCAAAACCGAGATCCCGTCCTTGCACATTTTGACAAAGGCTTAGGTAGAGGAAATCAAATGGATTAAGGAGCACAATGAGTTGCTATCTCTGATTGATGAAAAAGAGGTTGAATGTTTGTCATGGACAATGCTATCATCAAAGGATGGTTCGTTAGTTATGACAAGAAAGACAAATCTTGCTTATTTGAAGTGAGGGATAAGGTTTTGAAGTAAATTCTTCCGATTCAAGAGGAGGTTAAAGAAAAGTTTGCTCCGACTTGGCAAGGGCCATTTATTGTTCAAAGAGTGCTATCCGGAGGAACGTCCATTCTTACAGAACTGGATGGACAGGTCTTTCCTCTGCCAATCAATTCAGACATGTGAAATAAATTCTTTATCTGATTATATGATTTTTCTTTTTGAAATACCATCTATGGCGGATCAAAGGCGAGCCTTCTTCTTTTCTCTTTGAACATCTTATCCCTAGTTTTCCCCATTGAACCTCCAGAATAATTCAACCTTTCATTTGATAGCCCTCCTAAAGATTGCAAACTCCATACTGGGGTAAATTTTTATCTCTTATTTGTCATGAAAAAAAAAGAAAAAAGAAGTCAAAAGCCAAACTGGGGCAATTTTTTCGGTTTTAATACCCTCATAATGGGGCAAATATTGATAGAATGCGGTCTTAGGATTTTTGAAACCTCTTTGAAGATTTTGCTTTGAAGTTTAACACTTTTTCTACACCCCACATGCCCCCATCATAAAAATCATAAAGTCTCGACCTCCGCTTTAGTGGTATTTCTAATAAAAATCACTTAATCAAATGGCAATTGATGTCAGTACACCTTCACCATTTTTACATGGGAATGGTTGTCGCGCTGATGCCATCCTTTCTTTAAATACATTTCTGAGTTGATAAATGTCGTTAACAAGATTTGTTCATTAGGTGAAAACCTGAAAGGGTGTCTTCAAAAGAATGAGAAAAAAAGAAAAAAAGAAAAAAAAAGAGAATGATGAAAAAGAAAAAAAAAAGAAGAAAATGAAAACAAAATAAAATAAAAAGGTGTGACCTTTGTGAAAATCCGAAAGGTTGAGGTCATCAAGGTGAGATTTTGGAGCACAAGAAAATCATGAACGAAAAGCGGGTTGCTGACACTTGAGATACTGGCCATTCATTCAAATCTGGTCATTAGAAAAGTTGATTTGTGGTACAAAGTGTGGTATGGCTGACTGATGCTGAAAAATGGAGAAGATTCAAAACAAGTTGCAGCACAACTCTTGAGGAGCAGTTTTGACATCGAAGGATCATGCTTGCATGGTTCTCAGGGCCAAAAGGAGCACAAGGAATCACATGGTATTGGTATCATATGATCACTCTTTTTGCTTTTTCAAAAGCATGAAAATGTGGCTTTCGTTAAACATGATTTACACTGGGGCAAATATCAAAAGGAGTGAGCTCCAATTTTGGTAATACATTCTAAATCGGCTTTGTGAAAAAAAAAGTTTTTTAAAGTCGAGAAGATAGTGACACATGTATGTACCTCTCAAATCTCTTGAAAGGAGAGTTGTCATTGGTATTCTTCAAGTTTTAGAATTTGTCACCTTTGTTTTTTTTCAAAAACAAAAAAAAAACAAAAAAAACAAAAAAAACAAAAAAACAAAAAAAGATTACAAATCCACCAACTTGAGCCACAATGTCAAAATGCAAAGCAGATGATTGGTTGAACAAAATTGATTCAAATTGAGTCAATTTCTGAAATGATTTTTCAGGTAAGTATTCAAGAACTTTTTCATGCAATAACGTGTGTCATGTCTTTTATCACCGTTAGCATCGAGTACAACTCACTAACGCGTGTTTTATTTTTTCACATCCGTTAGCATCGGGTCCAACCCACTAACGTGCCTTTTATCACCGTTAGCATCGAGTATGACTCACTAACGCGTGTTTTATTTTTTCACATCCGTTAGCATCGGGTCCAACCCACTAACGTGTCTTTTATCACCGTTAGCATCGAGTACAACTCACTAACGCGTGTTTTACTTTTTCATATCCGTTAGCATCGGGTCCAACCCACTAACATGTCTTTTATCACCGTAAGCATCGAGTACAACTCACTAACGCGTGTTTTACTTTTTCATATCCGTTAGCATCGGGTCCAACCCACTAACATGTCTTTTATCACCGTTAGCATTGAGATTTGACTCACTAACGTGTGCTATTTTTTTTCACATCCGTTAGCATTGGGTCCAACCCACTAACGTGTCTTTCATCACCGTTAGCATCGAGTATTGACTCACTAACGTGTGTTATGTTTTTTTCACATCCGTTAGCATCGGGTTCAACCCAATAACGTGTCTTTTGTATATCATGTTGGGATTCGGCAGGTTTGGGTGTTATCCCACTGACCGTTTTATTTTATTGGATTCGGGTTTTATCCCACCAATCTGTTATTTCTTGACAATTTAATTTCCTGTTGGTGAGTCTCAGCGTCCACCGCGCACCCTTCTATCTCCCATTCTTGACAAATTTAAATTCCTGTTGGAGTGTAATCGCGTCCCTCCGCGCATCAATTTAATTTCATGTTGGTGAGTCTCAGCGTCCACCGCGCACCCTTCTACCTCCCCTTCTTGACAATTTAATTTCCTGTTGGTGAGTCTCAGCGTCTACCGCGCACCCTTCTATCTCCTATTCTTGACAAATTTAAATTCCTGTTGGAGCGTAATCGCGTCCCTCCGCGCATCAATTTAATTTTCTGTTGGAGCGTAATCGCGTCCCTCCGCGCATCAATTTAATTCCTGTTGGTGAGTCTCAGCGTCCACCGCGCACCCTTCTACCTCCCATTCTTGATAAATTTAATTGTCTGTTGCAGCGTAATCGCGTCCCTCTGCGCATCAATTTAATTTCCTGTTGGTGAGTCTCAGCGTCCACCACGCACCCTTCTATCCCCCTTCTTGACAAATTTAATTTTCTGTTGGTGAGTCTCAGCGTCCACCGTGCACCCTTCAACCTCCCATTCTTGATAAATTTAATTTTCTGTTGGTGAGTCTCAGCGTCCACCGTGCACCCTTCTACCTCCCATTCTTGATTCCAATTTAAATTTCCTGTTGGTGAGTCTCAGCGTCCACCGCGCACCCTTCTACCTCCCCTTCTTGACAATTTAAATTTTCTGTTGGAGCGTAATCGCGTCCCTCCGCGCATAAATTTAAATTTCTGTTGGTGAGTCTCAGCGTCCACCGCGCACCCTTCTACCTTCCATTCTTGACATTTTAAATTTCTGTTAGTGAGTCTCAGCGTCCACCGTGCACCCTTCTATCTCCCCTTCTTGACAAATTTAATTTTCTGTTGGAGCATAAACGCGTCCCTCCGCGCATCTTTTCCTAAATGACAAATTTAATTTTCTGTTGGTGAGTCTCAGCGTCCACCGCGCACCCTTCTACCTTCCATTCTTGACATTTTAATTTCTGTTGGTGAGTCTCAGCGTCCACCGCGCACCCTCCTATCTCCCCATCTTGACTATTAAATTTTCTGTTGGAGCGTAATCGCGTCCCTCCGCGCATAAATTTAAATTTCTGTTGGTGAGTCTCAGCGTCCACCGCGCACCCTCCTATCTCCCCATCTTGACTGTTAAATTTTCTGTTGGAGCGTAATCGCGTCCCTCCGCGCATAAATTTAAATTTCTGTTGGTGAGTCTCAGCGTCCACCGCGCACCCTTCTATCTCCCATTCTTGACAAATTTAAATTCCTGTTGGAGCGTAATCGCGTCCCTGCGCGCATCAATTTAATTTCCTGTTGGTGAGTCTCAGCGTCCACCGCGCACCCTTCTATCTCCCCTTCTTGACAATTTAATTTCCTGTTGGAGCGTAATCGCGTCCCTCCGCGCATCTTTTTTGAAAAGACAAATTTAATTTTCTGTTGGAGCGTAACCGCGTCCCTCCGCGCATCTTTTTCTAGTTATGACAAGTTAATTTTCTTGACTGTTTTGACTAATAATTGTGATTTCTCATTCATTTTGTGTTTCATGTTTAGAAGTTCTGAGAGCTCAGACTTTTTCGACTTTGCAAAGACCATAGTTGGTCAATGCACTTGTTTCGTTGTGGTTCACTTGCATTCGAACTACGTTTGACCTGATTCCCATGGCGGGATACGTAGGCAACTCTACATGAGTTCGGTCATATGCTCTGCAATGTTATTGCATCATTTTGTCCAATAATTTCAACCAAGTGTTAGCTTGTTTAATTTAACTCAGGTGCAGTTAGAAGAGACAGGTAAACAATTTGGTGTCTACGTCTTTGTCTTGAGTTTCTTTGAAACTCTAGACAAAGAGGGACAAGCTGTAGACACCAAATTTTTGTCAATTTTTAATATTTTCTTGAATTTTTTCTATTTAATGAGTTATTTATTTTCTTGCATTTTAATTTGCATTTGTCTCATTTTTGCAGGTTTGTTTTAGGAAAAGAAGAAAAATTAAAAAAAAAAACAACAAACAAACAAAACAAAACAAAAGAAGGAAAATTAAGAAAATAAAAAAAATCATTCTAATCATTTTGTTTCATCAGAACCACTATTAACCCATTTTTACACTCCATCCTCATTAACATTTCTTCCCATTTTGGTAAAAAATTCATCATTGATAGCCCATGCATACTTCTTGTCTTTGGAAGAAAAAATCATCATTTGGCCCAACTTAACACTCCTAGTCAAGACATCACTCGGCTCTCTCTGGGGGAAAAGGAGGAAAAAAAAACACACACAAAAAAGGCTCTACTGTTGGCTACAAAAATCTCCTCTCTCGGCTCTCTCCCACAGGACAGAAGACAAGCCATAACAAGAAAAAAAAAAAGAAAAACTCCTCTTTCCATTCGGCTCCCTCTCTTTTCCTAATATACACACACAGAATCAAGCACAAGAAAGCAAGCAATCGGACGCGAGGAGATTGGAATTTCATCAACAATTTTAACTAAGGTCATAAGAGGTATCAACACTTCCATTGAACTATTTCCTGTTTTTTTTTCTTTATCGTGTTGAATTCATGTATTATTGGTTGTTCCTGCTGTTTTCTTGTTGTTGCTGCTGGTGTTGTTGAAATTTTGGGGTAAAGCCATGAATAAACATTAAGGAAAAGATGATTTCTGTGAATGCATGTTAATTGTTTGAAAAAATGCCAAAAAGAATTTTAGGGACTGTTTTGCCTTAATTCAGCCTTTTTATGTTGTTTTCTTGTTCAACTTAGATTATAGTTGTAATGTAGAAGTTATAAGGAGGGTTTTGGCATAATTTTTAAGATTTTTGGTGAAGATTATAGTGTTTTAAAAAATAAAAAACTGGACTGGCTTTTTGCTTTTCGGTCACCTTCGGGTCATCTTTTGTAAAAATTAACTCCGGAAATGGAACCTACGCGAAAAATGGACTGGAAAGATGTATTTTGAGAAATTTTGGCCATTGGAAAAGTCGCCGGTGACCGGCGGTCCGGTGGCGCCGCCACCATGGCTACCAGCTGAAGCTTCTTCGGTTGGCCGAAGAAGAAGGAAAGGAAACGTATGGGGAAGAAAAGAGAAAGAAAAGAAAGAAAGAAAAAAGGGGTTTGGGCTAATGTTTTATTTCGGTTGGGCAAGAGTTAGTTTTGGTTGGGTTATGAAAATGGGTTTTGGTTTATTTTCTTTTGGGTTTCGGTTGGGCTAAGAGTTTTGAGTCCATATATTTTGGTTGGGTTTGAGTGATAAAAGACGGGCTGGCCTGTGTGTTTTAGGTTGGGTTTTCAGTTGGGCTTAGGTAGGTTTGGCCCAAGTAAAATAAAAAGGGAGGCCCGATGCCCTCTTCTTGCCCAAATCAGAAACGAACTTGCACTTCAGTCCCTGTACTTTCAAGTACTTTCACTGCGGCCCAGAACATTTTAAATTCCTTTCAACTCGGTCCTTAAATTAATTTCACTTTGGTCCCTGAATTTTATCTTTCATTTAATTTGGACCCCTGAACTTTGGAAAATATAATTTTTGTCCCCCAAAAGTTTTCAACTT